AGTAGCCGATCTGTCATGGTGAAGAGGGAGCTGAGCCAGAAAGCCAGGCTCTCGATTTACTGGTTGATCTTCATCCCAATCCTCACCTATGGTCATGAGCTTTGGGTAATGACCGAAAGAACGAGATCGCGGACACAAGCGGCCGAAATGAGTTTCCTCCGTAGGGTGGCCGGGCTCAGCCTTAGAGATAGGGTGAGGAGCTCGGACATTCGGGAGGGACTCGGAGTAGAACCGCTGCTCCTCCGGATCGAAAGGAGTCAGTTGAGGTGGTTCGGGCATCTGGTCAGGATGCCTCCTGGACGCCTCCCTGGGAAGATGTTTCGGGCATGTCCTGCCGCCAGGAGGCCCCCGGGGCGACCCAGGATACGTTGGAGAGGTTACATCTCCAATCTGGTCCGGGAACGCCTTGGGGTCCTGCCGGAGGAGCTGGTGGAGGTGACCGGGAAGAGGACGGTCTGGAGCTCCCTAGTTGGGATGCTGCCCCCGTGACCCGGACCCGGATAAGCGGAGGAAGACGACGATGACAACGAAGTTGCCTTACAGGCTTCGGGATCCCTGGAGATGTGTGGCCTGCGATTTGCAAGAAAAATTCAATCACAGAGCAACATTTTATGACATTGTGGAGTTTGTTGAGCATCAAGTCAAGATTGCAAGTGACCCTCAAAGGAAGCAAGAAAGGAGTTGAAACCTGGATCTTTTCGGACTGTCACAAAATCACAAGGCAGTAGTTTTGCCACCAACATGGCACCTGTGGAGAAGAAAATGGAGCATGTGAATAAAAGTGAAAAGCACCCACCTGAAAGGACGTGCATGTTTTGTGGAGCTTGACATTCCTTGGATGTTTGCCTTCTGTTGGATAAAAGGACTCAAAATGAAAAAAAAAAGTCTTTCTTGAAGGAAAACAGAATGTGCTTTGGTTGTTTGTGCATTGGGCACAGAAGCAGAGAATGCAAAAGGCGTCTCACTTGCAGAGTTTGCAACCTGAAGCACCACACGTTGTTGCATATCCACTCCAAAACCAGGCAAAAGGGTTCTACACAAGCTAATGGTGGCTCAGAAGGGGTCAAGGAAGAGGTGGTGGTGCCAGTGGTTTAACTGGGACTGGTAAGCGGGACTGTATGCTGTCTATTCTGCCTGTCCAGGTGAAGTCCAAGAAAGGACAAGACATTCTGGTCACTTATGCGTTTTTGGATCCAGGGAGCACTGCCTCATTTTGCACCAAGCGACTGATGGTTAAACTCAACCTTACTGGAAGGAAGCTTGCGATTCTCCTAAGAACGATGGGCCAAGAAAAGGTTGTAGACAGCTACATGTTGACAGATCTGGAAGTGGCTGGTCTGGAAACGAACAACTTTTGTGACTTGCCAGAGATCTTCACGCAAAGAAGTATGCCTATCTACCGAGGAAATATTCCACAAGCGAAAGACCTTCAATGCTGGCCACATCTGAGGCACATAAAATTAGCAGATGTCCAGGCAGATGTGGATCTCCTTATTGGCGAAAACGTACCTCAAGCACTGGAGCCCTGGGAGGTGGTTTGTGCGGTGGATAGAGGTCCGTACACAGTCAAAACCATGTTAGGTTGGACGATAAATGGTCCACTCAGAGGAGATTGTCAAATGGAGGACCATTGTGAATCCCTTGAGGTCACAGTTAACCATATCTCAGTGGCAAGGTTGGATGACCTGTGGCAGAAGCAGCTTAAAATAGATTTCCCAGAAACCCAACAAGATGAACAGCAGGGACTGTCAAAGGAAGATGAATGCTTTATGGAGTCTGTTTCAGATTCAATTAAGCTAATCGATGGGCACTAAAGTATTGGATTGCCATTAAAACAAAGATACCTCAAAATGCCAAACAATGACAGTTGCAGAACAATGAGCATTTAGTCTCAAAAAATGCCTGTCTAAAGATTTGTCCTTTCGCTCTGACTACACCAAGTTCATGTCGGAGATGCTGGAGAAGGTCTATGCAGAGAAAGTTCCATCTGAGCAGTTGAGCCGATGTGATGGAAAAGTATGGTATATACCACACCACGACGTGCATCATCCAACAAAGGGGAAACTGCGTGTGGTCTTTGATGGTGGGGCCACATTTCAGGGAAACTCTTTGAACTCTCTGCTCCTCCAAGGACCTAATCTGACGAGCCAACTCATTGGTGTTCTGACCAGATTCCGCAAAGCACCAGTCATACTCATGGCAGACATTGAGGCCATGTTTCATCAGGTTCAAGTGCTGCCTGAAGATTGTGACCTGTTACGATTTTTATGGTGGCCTGATGGAACCTGTGGAGGAAAACTGGCTCAGTACAGAAGGGTGGTACATCTATTTGGTGCCACGTTGTCCCCGAGCTGTGCTTGTTTTGCTCTGCGAAAATGTGCAGAGGACAATCGAAACGACTTAAGTCCTGTTGCAGTAAATGCTTTGCTGCATCATTTTTATGTTGATTATTGTTTGGCGTCCGTTTCTTCTTCTGAAGAAGCTCTGTCCCTCTGCAAGGAACTCACCGAGTTGTGTTCCAGAGGTGGATTTAAGCTCACAAAATGGATCAGCAACTGCTGCACAGTACTCTCTGTTGTACCGTCTGAAGATAGAGCAAAGGAAGTGAAAGATCTTGATCTGGGCGGTGATGTCTTACCTGTGGAGCGAGTCTTGGGCGTGCAGTCGTGTGTGCAATCGGACATATTCAGGTTCAAGATCATACTCAAGGACCGTCCACTTACAAGAAGAGGAATCTTGTCTGCCGTCAGCTCGGTTTTCTGGCTCCAATTGTTCTGTCCACCAAGAGCATTCTGCAAAATCTCTGCAGGAGACGTCTGGGATGGGACGATCCTTTACCTCCATCTGTAGCCAGAGAATGGAAGACCTGGCTGGATGACCCCCATCTGTTGGACTGTACTACCTGCTCAAGCAAAGTCTCTGGAGATGTTTATTAACTAATTTTCTTCCTGGCATGGACTGATAAAGCTGTTGCTTGGCTGCTCAAGTTCAGAAGTTTGCTGTTATCTCTAGTGCAGCAAAGAAAGCTGTTAGGAGAGACACTCTTTAGGTCTGATCTAAGTTCTGTACAGCTGGAAAAGGAGGTACGAGGCCAGATGGAACATTTCAAAGCTCAGGTCCAAAGGAGAGATCTCATAGTGGAAGATTTGGTTGCTGCTGAGGAAGCTGTGATAAAGTTTTGCCAAAAACTAAGATTTCCTAACGAGTTGGCAAGTTTGGAGAAAGGAGAATGTGTGAAGAAACAAGTCATCTCTACAAGCTAAACCCAATCCTGGAAAATTGTCTCATAAGGGTTGGAGGGAGGCTTAGTAGAGCAGCAATGCCAGTCGAAGCAAAACATCCTGTTATCCTGGCTAAAGACTTGCACATCTCCAGACTAATTCTCAGCCATGTACATCAAGAAACGGGTCACATTGGACGCAACCATATGTTATCACTCTTGCGACAAAATTACTGGATTCCTAATGCTTGCGCTGCCATCAGGAAAATCTTGGCAAAGTGTGTCAGCTGTCGAAGATTATCTGCTGTTCCTGGAAGTCAAAAAATGGCCGATCTATCTCACAGCAGAAATATTCCTGATGAACCCCCATTCAGTCATGTTGGGTTGGATTGTTTTGGACCGTCCGATTACGAAGATCCGCCTTCTGCAGTAAGCGGATGATCAGTGAAGATTCTGTGGAAACCTTTTTGATGTGGCTTGCCTGAATGAACTGGGACATTACTGGCTTCATACAATGGACTAATATTTCTACAAGTGGACTCAAAGGGACGAATTGTTTGTCTTTCCTCTTGGTTATGGTTTTGTCTCCTACATGTGAAAGGTGGTGGGTAATTGTTGCTATAATAGTTGGGGGCTGGAATGTAGGAGCCATTCATGTTTGTAGTTTTCCTTTTGTGAATGAGCTGGTATGTGCACGCGCTTCTGCACCTCAGGTGATTGGTTGCACCGTGGGTGTGGTTATAAATATGAGCGCGTACCTATTGTTTGGGAATTTTGTTTGGTTTGTGCTGGCCTGCATTATGGTGGTGGGGTGAACTTGGGGAGAAATTTCTGTTGACCGCTATCTCACCAATTTACACCTGAAAGATCTGCACTGTCTGTGAGGTATTGTTTGGCATCTAATCACCATCAATCTAAGTCAAGGCCTGCTTTATATAATAATATGACCTGGACAATAAATGATCAGCTGTGCAGTTGTTCCGCCTGCGCGTCATCAGTTAAAAACCCCTTGTTTTAGCCTGCCGTGGCTTGTTGAATAAGTTTTCAAATATATGCCACAATAGTAGTCCTGGGCTTAATTTCACAATAAACCTAAAATAGCATCCCCTCCCCCATTTGAAAAAAGCACTTTCTTGGCATTAAAATGTGTTTTTAAAATTCACAGACATCATATGTAAAATCCATGGTACAAAACAAGCGTGATTTAAAAAAAGCGTTTTTAGCCCTGTTGACTTGCATTCAGTTTTTCCTTCTTCTGGGGACCCGTGATCCAGAAGTAGATGGGCGTGACTCAGGATTCCTATAATTTTTTCATAAAAATGTATAAAATGTACATCCTCGGAGAAAGTCCCTGCACACATCTGTACTAAAACTCTTGGGCAGGTTCACCGCAGGGTCCCAATATGCGGTCGATTTTTTTGCTTCAGGAAAGCAGTTGTTACACTTCAAGCAAGAAAGCTCTTTGTCAGACATGAGTATGCAGGCGCCATCTTAAATATCATGTGATGCAGCTCACGTGATTGCTGTGTTTCGGGAGACAAACAGTGTAAACAAGCACAGACATATTATTATCCTGTGCAGGACACAAAAGTATTATAAAGTGCTGGAAACCTTTATTTTGCCAGAAGAAATTACTTACAATATACGGAATGGCACAGATAAGTACTAACAGAGAATTCTTAAGACGCATCCTTTACTCACCACCTTTCCAGGTAATTTATAAAGTGATTTAATAGTAATAAATGCAAATGTTGTAATTAGTGTTTGTTTTGTGTTGCAGGACTGACAGCTCCTTCAACTTCTTCTTCTTCTTCTTTGTGTTTTTTGTCCAAGTGGGAATCTTCATCATCCAGTCAGTGGGCATCCCTCACTGGGGAAACAGGTTAGGCAAACTTGGTCTGACAGCATTCATCGAATCAACGTTCAGCCTCTTCCCTTGACTAGATAACATGGGATCATTTTAATTACTATTAAAACAACCATTCAAAGTTTCTACTCCCTTAATTAAAAAAGAAACGTACCGCTGAGACTTTGTTTTTTTACCGTATCCTGTACCTTGTTGTAATGGAAGCTAGATGTTGTAGCAAAACCATTCCTGTCTGGCTGTAAACCAATCAGAATTGATGTCTGAATGCCGAAGACAAGCCTTACAGTTTTGTTCTCACAGGTGGAGCGTTATAGCTTCTGCTATAATACCACGCCTGATAGCAAAACTTTATTAGAAATATTTTTGGTTGTTTTAAATCCCAACGAACACGGAGACAGAAGTGTAAGGGAAAGAAGAAAGAGGTGAGGAGGGGGGTTCACAAAAACAAACAATAAATGATGAACAAGAATTTGCTTCTAGACCTGCATAAAGAGAGTGTAGCGGAGGCTACAAGTTAATATCCATCTGTCCGTCCGTCCCTCCATCCATCCATCCATCAATCCATCCATCCATCCATCCATCCATCAATCCATCCATCCATCCATCCATCCATCCATCCGGGTCGCGGGGGCAGTAGCCTAAGGCAAGAGGCCCAGACTTCCCTCTCCCCAGCCACTTGGGTCAGCTCCACCAGGGGAATCCCAAGGCGTTCCCTGGCCAGGTGAGAGACATAGTCCCTCCACCGTGTCCTGGGTCTACCTTTAGGTCTCCTCCCGGTTGGACGTGCCTGGAAAACCTCACCAGAGAAGCGTCCAGGAGGCATCCTGACGAGATGCCCGAGCCACCTCAACTGGCTCCTCTTGATGTGGAGGAGCAGCGGGTCTACTCCGAGTCCCTCCCGGATGACCGAGCTTCTCACCCTATCTCTAAGGGAGAGCCCAGCCACTTTTTGGAGAAAACTCATTTCGGCCGCTTGTATCTGCAATCTCGTTCTTTCGGTCACTACCCAAAGCTCATGACCATAGGTGAGGGTGGGAACGTAGATCGACTGGTAAATCGAGAGCTTCGCCTCCCGACTCAGCTCTCTTCACCACAACAGACCGGTACAACGCTCGCATCACTGCAGATGCAGCACCAATCCACCTATCGATCTCACGCTCCAGTTTTCCCTCACTCGTGAACAAGACCCTGAGATACTTAAACTGTTCCACTTGGGGCAGGACTTCATCCCTGACCCGGATAAGGCACTCTACCCTTTTCCAAATCAAGACCATGGTCTCAGATTTAGAGGAGCTTATTCTCATCCCAGCTGCTTCACACTCGGTTGCGAACCACTCCAGCGAAAGCTGAAGATCACGTTCTGATGAAACCAACAGGACCACATCATCTGCAAAAAGCAGAGAACTGATCCTCAGGCCACCAAAACGGATGCCCTCCACACCTTGGCTGCGCCTAGAAATCCTGTCCATAAAGGTTATGAACAGAATCAGTGACAAAGGGAAGCCTTGGCAGAGTCCAACTCTCACTGGGAACGAGCCCGACTTACTGGCGGCAATGTGGACCAAGCACTGACACGGGTCATACAGCCCGGCCCGATGGACCTAACAGCCCGTATCAGAGGGCCTGATACCCCATACTCCCGGAATACCCCCCTACAGGGCCCCCCGAGGGACGCAGTCAAACGCCTTCTCCAAATCCACGAAACACATGTAGACTGGTTGGGCAAATTCTCATGCACCCTCCAGGATCCCCCTAAGGGTATAGAGCTGGTCCAGTGTTCCACGGCCAGGACGAAAACCACATTGCTCCTCCTGAATCTGAGGTTCAACAATCCGACGGACCCTCCTCTCCAGAACCCCTGAATAGACCTTACCAGGAAGGCTCAGGAGTGTGATCCCCCTGTATATGGAACACACCCTGTGGTCCCCTTTTTTAAATAAGGGAACCACCACCCCGGTCTGCCAGTCCAGTGGGACTGCTCCCGATGCCCACGTGATATTGCAGAGCTGTGTCAGCCAACACAGTCCCACAACATCCAGAGCCTTAAGGAACTCTAGGCGGATCTCATCCACCCCTGGAGCCTTGCCACAGAGGAGCTTTTTAACCACCTCAGTGACCTCAGCACCAGGGATTTTAGAGGCCAACTCAAACTCCCCAGACTCTGCTTCCTCACTGGAAGACGTGTCGATGGGATTGAGGAGGTCTTCGAAGTATTCTGCACACCGATCCATAATGTCCTGAGTAGAGGTCAGCAGCACACCATCCACACTATAGATAGTGTTGGTAGCCATTCGGCGGGATGGTGGACCAGAATCTCCTCGAAGCCGTACAGACTGTTTGCTCCATGGTCTCACCGAACTCCTCCCATGCCCGGGTTTTTGCCTCGCTGACCACCCGAGCCGTTTTCTGCTTGGACCGCCGGTACCCGTCAGCTGCCTCTGGAGTCCCACAGGCCAAAAAAACCTGGTAGGACTCTTTCTTCAGCTTGACAGCACCCCTAACCGCCGGTGTCCACCAGCGGGTTCGGGGGTTGCCACCACGACAGGCACCGACGATCCTGCGACCACAGCTCTGGTCGGCCGCCTCAACAATGGAGGCACGGAACAGGGTCCATTCAGACTCTATGTCCCCCGCCTTCCCCGGAACATTTTGGAAGTTCTGTCGGAGGTGGGAATTGAAGCTCCTTCTGACTGGAGACTCTGCCAGACGTTCCCAGCAGACTCTTGCGATACGTTTGGGTCTGCCTGGTCTGACCGGCATCCTCCCCCACCATCTGAACCAACTCACCACCAGGTAGTGGTCAGTTGACAGCTCCGCCCCTCTCTTCACCCGAGTGTCCAAGACATGCGGCCGCAGGTCAGATGAAACAACAAAGTCGATCATCGAGCTGTGGCCTAAGGTATCACTCCTTCCAGACTGTTGCACCCCGACTTTGGAATGATCTTCCTTTATCCTTACATAGCATTGACAGTGTGGACACTTAATAAACAGTTGAAAAACCTTTTTTTAAAGCTGCTTTTACCTAAACCTTTTATTTTCTTATTTATAACTCATTTGAAATCATCTTTCATTTGTTTTATGATATTTTACATTGTTTTGACTTTATTTTTCTGATTTTAATCTATTTCTGTTCTACGATCATTATGATTTTATGACTTTATGAATTGTTTTGTTTTGATCTATGTGAAGCACTTTGTGATTCTTTGTCTGTGATGGGTGCTATACAAATAAAATTTACTTCCTTACTCCTGTTGACCTTAGTGGGTGGATCACTGCCATGTCTGTCATGGGTAACCATGTAGCAGTGGGGGTCATCATGGTCATCGTGGCCATCCTCTTCACCATGTGTGCCGTCATGTCTGTCATCTTGCTGAAGATGGTAAGAAACATTTAATTCATACTATGAAACCATTAATGCATCTAGTTGATGTGAAGTCCCATTAGTCATCATCACACACTGGTGAAATTACTCTTCCGCATTTGACCCATCTTCGTAGGGAGCCGCGAGCTGCAGCAGTGGCTGCGCTCTGAAACTATTTGGCGGTTTAACCCCCAATCCAACCTCTTAAAGCTGAGCATTTTTAATGTCTTTGGTATGACCCCACTGGGATTTCAACCCCAATCTCCTAGTCTCAGGGCAGACACTCATACCAGTAGGCCACTGAAAAAGTGTAATCTGTAAGAACCGTCATGTTCTGTGTCCCTCTGTCCCCAGCCTCCTCCTGTTCTCCTCCAGGTTCTCATGCTTAGTTCTTTCTCCATTTAGTTTATTGAATGCACCTGCCTTCCCTCCAGATCACTCACACCTGTCACCTGTTCCTCTGATCACCTCCCTCTGTGTTTAAAAGCCCTGTCTTGTCCCTCAGTGTTTGTCGGTCCATTGTTGTGAGTCAGCATTGTTTTGTTCCCTCGTCAGGTTCTAGTCTTTGTGCTCATTATTGAGCTTTTGTTGTTTTGTTTTTTTTTTTGGCTTTCAGTTTTCTGGATTTGATTCCTGCATCTAAGTTATTTTTGTTTCCACCTTAATAAAAGGATTTTACCTTTTTTCAACTGCTCTTGCCTCGAGTCTTTCTGGGCTTCTGCGTTGTGAAAATTGAAACTGAAACTGTGTGATTTCATGTCTAGCCCCATGCTAACTGCAGACGTTGACATGTCCCAGAAGAGGCCTGTGGCAAAAATGGAAACCCGCCCCATCTTTAGCCGCATGGCCAGCCACTTCTGGGATGTGCCTGAAAATTGCTGCATTGCGGCAGTGACGTTCCGCTGCCGTTCCGTGCTGCTGATACTTTCAATGTGAAATACGGGGGACACTGCTTGAAGACTGAATTTAGTCAAGACAGTGCTCAATAAGCTGTCCCTGGGCTAAACACATTGGACCGCCACAGACCTGCAAATCACCTTCACATTCACCAGTTTTTTGTTATTGCTGTTAATGGCAAGAGATCCACATTGCAGCCTGGGCTTCAAAGTGGCCCAAGATAAGTCTTAAGTGCTAACCCTCTGAACGGGCATCCTGCTACAGGGCTCCATAATGGGACATTTACTGTTTATAATGAAAGGAGTGTAAAGTTAACTATACACTCTAATGCAGTGAACATCCCCTGGCAACCTGCCAGATCTTTCCACCCAGCCCCCCAACCGTTTGGGCCCAAACCATGGACGTAGTTTTGAATTTAGGGGGGGGGGGGGGGGGGGGGCACAAGCGGCATGAGAACCGGGGGGTGGAAGATCTTTACAGTAAGTATGCAAAAATATGTGTAAACCTACAGCCTAGAGGCTCTTTTATGCAATGTAGAGCTTAGTACACAATCACATGTTAGCAAGTATCAACAGAGCCAATAGATGAGCTTTTGGACGGTTCTAATGGGAAACAGGCTTTGACACAAGTGGTTGTTTTTGGGCGGTAAAAAGTGCAGGGGGCAAGAATTTACTTTGGAAAAATTGTGTGTGTGTGTGTGTGTGGGGGGGGGGGGGTGGGGGGGGGCATGTACCCCCCAAAATACCTCCATGGCCCTAACGCCCCCCAAATGGGAGACTTTGAACATCTTTGGTGTGTTCTTGCTGTGTTGCGTTTCTAATTCCATCTTTTAGTTCTTTTTAAATAAACCTTTACTGTGTTTTAAAAAGAACTAAAATATGGGAGACTTTGAAGTTTGGCAATAAAATTCATTTCCTAAATATCAATAATTGTTCATGTTCTCCAAACACAACCAAACTACAATCAAACTATTTAGGTGGAAAACAAAGCCATTTTAAATATTAATAAATGAAGATGCAATAATAACTTAACTTTATTTTAGAGTAGCATCTGGTCCTCGTGGTGTCTGCTGGAAAAAACTATGGCCCTTGAACTAGTTTAATTGAGGACCCATGGTCTAATGTATTGCATCAGCTGCAGTGAGTTTGTGGTTTGTTGGATTGCAATATCCCTTTTATTAAAGAACTGAAATTTGAATAAAAATAAGACATTTTCTCCATTTATCCCCTCACACACGCTCAGGTCCATGGGATGTACCGCCGCACTGGGGCCAGTTTCCACAAAGCTCAGCAGGAGTTGTCCCAGGGTGTCTTCGCCAGTAAAACCTTCAGTGGAGCAACTTCAGCAGCTGCTCAGGGAGCCTTCCAAGGAAACTAGTGTCCACTGAGCTGCAGAGGCTCCTGACTTCTTCAGATCTGTATGTTATGAGGTCTAGATAGTAAACCAGAGGTGATCAACCATAAAGATCAGGCCCACTGAGGACTTGCTCTCTGGTTCCTGGCACTGCTGTGGATCTCATCTGACCTCCTACTGTGCAGACTTTCCTGTGTGTGGGTGTGTGTGTGTGTGTGTGCGTGCGTGCGTGTGTGTGTGTGTGTGCGCGTGGGTGTGTGTGTGTTTCTCCACATGTGATAGGTATTGCTTTGATTCTGCTGTGGAAACCAAAATAAATCCTGTTAATGTATTTCTTTTTGGTTCTTCTATGTTGAACCTAGCAGTTATTACTCAGCTAAAGCAAACATCGGTTTAACATCTGCTGATTAAAATCGGTGTAAATGTGTTAAATTGACTGTAATTTAGTTTTACTTCACAGCTAGTAATAGTAATTTATCACCACTATGATGATTTACTTTGAAGGAGCTTCAACTGAAGCATGGAAATAAGAGTCAATGACATCTGATGGCAGGTGAAGTTGTTATTAATATATTTGTGCCACCATCTTGTGCCTGTTCAGCCTGAGTCAGGAGAAATCATCAGGATTTATCTGTCGTCCACCCTGTACCAACAGGTCCAGGTCTCTGCTAAAGTTGGAGTCCAGCAGACTCTTTCCACAATTTTTTTTTTTTGGGGGGGGGGGGGGGGTGTTTATTTTTTCTTGAAATTTTAACTTGTAATTTATGCCACGGAGCTCTAAATTATTTGGTTTTATATTTTTCACATAATTGTGTTGAAAAAAGAAAGTTCCTGTTTATTTAACCAAACCTTTGTTAGGTATTAGTAAAAGCTGATGACCTCTAATAGGTGTGGGTCTGAGCCCTTCCCTGTGTATGATCAGTGCCTTTTGTACATAAACTTTGAACTTGCAGCTAATGTAAAGCTTTGCTGCCATAAATGTTTGTTATAAATAAATCATGAAAACAACAGGATTATTAACACTGATTTGGCTAGATTTCATATTGTGTCTTGTTAATATTGATCTATTACAAGCTAATAAAGCTGGGACACAGGTGGACTCTCACCATGAGCTGCTTTATATTCAGTCTTTCATTTTCCATTTGCCAGTGTTTCATAGTCACCACCTTACCGGGCAGTCAAACTTGTATGATGTAGGTAGGAGATCTTTGGTCCAACTAGCATTAGAAATGGGTTGAGTTGGAGTGTAATGGTAGGAGCACAGCCTCATGCACCACATCCAGCTGCAGGAGGTTATGAGGACCCCGGTGAAACTTTAATGAACCAGAACTGGTTTAGGGAAAAGGTATCCAGAGCCAAGTTCGTGGTCTTAAGTTAAAGAGTGATTCCAGTCCAACAGGACATTTCTTCAACCAGACTTACCAAACCTCTGGTATGCAAACTCACCCAGATCCAGGCTGTTTCCTAAATAAAACCAGCATGTAGTATTTACTCTGGTTGTTGTATTTATTTGCTGATATGAAACATTTAAGTGACTAAGGCGTTTGACCCTTGAGTTGATGTTATTTCAATAACGTGTTCAGTTTTACGTGAAATAGCTGCTGCCTCTCTTGTCTGTATGAATGCGACCGTTGGGTGGAAACATAGCCAGGCACCTATTGCTGAGTCACTGAAGCAAAGGTGCTCTCACCCAGTGACGTGTGGTGAGGTTCATAGCTGGGGAGGCACTGGCTCTCTGGAGTCACACTTACAAATATATGATCCCCAAACAGAAGCTTGTATTTTATGTTTGACCTAGAATGAAATATTTTGTTGAATGTTCTTGGTCATAAATGGTAATAATAAATAATACATTTAATTTGTAAGCACCTTTCAAGACTCAAGGTCGCTGAAGAATAACACAATAAATCAGGGATAAAAACTCTCTAGGTCACTGACATGAAACAAATAAATACAATAACAGGGTTTCCCCCAGAAAATGAGTTAAGCCTGGCGGATTCAGCCATTGGGATTGGGGGGGGGGGGGGGGGGTGTCGCGTGCTCCGTCCCGCAGCGCTCCTCCATGAGAGCGGAGGAAGGTTGTGCACGTTCCTCTGCTGTTTCTCACCAGTATCAGCTGATGGAGGGCTCTAGTTTCGTTGCGCCGTTCATTTCAGCAGACACGTTAGGGTCGGGGAGGGAGCGGGGCATGATGCTTAGCCTGGCGGGTGGACAAGCAAAGCCTGGCGGGCCGCCAGTCTTCTAAAGCGCTGGGGGAAACCCTGCAATAAAATACAAAGTGGCAACTGGTAAAATTGAAGTCATGACGATGGAAGCAGACAAAAAGTTATTTGCAGTTGAGATACTAACGACAGGGTGGGCCATTTCTATGGATCCACCTTAATGACATGGAATGGTTGGTGGTTTTAACGTCCTGTTTGTGGCACATTAGTATATGTGAGGGGGAAAACCTTTCAAGATGGGTGGTGACCATAGTGGCCATTTTGAAGTTGGCCATCTTGGATCCAACTTTTGTTTTTTCAATAGGAAGAGGCTCATGTGACACATCAAACTTATTGGGAATTTCATAAGAAAAACAATGGTGTGCTTGGTTTTAATATAACTTTATTCTTTCATGAATTGTAAATATTTGAAGCTCCATGGCCGACGTTACTTCTACATTCCATTCTTTGTATTGAAGCCTATGGGTGTGTCCAAACCCCAAGACTTTGTCCAAATTCAGGGGTTGCATGCTCATGAGGTCGGATTTGAAGACCAGGGACCCGTGTTGCCAACTAATCAACTTTGTCACTGTTCTTAATGACTTTTTGACCCCCCTCAACGACTTTTTTTTTCCAAAAAGAGCCTAGCGACAAACCTAGTGACATTTCTCAGAACCCTTTGCTACTTTCTGTAGATCTTTCTTGTAGATATTCTCTGCAGATTGGCAACAAAGAAACCATTTGCACTCTGAACCGTTCTTCCGGGAGTAAGGAAAGAGAATGATAATCTGCTCATGTGCACAAGGACTGACCAATCATAAACTGTTCTCGGCCGGGCCGACGACAAATGTACAGCTGCAGAGCTATGTGTATATATATATATATATATATATATATATATATATATATATATATATATATATATATATATATATATATATATGTACGTATATATATATATATGTATGTATATATATATATATATATATATATATATATATATATTGTCATGGTTCCCATTATGTGACTCCTCTGCCCTCCTGCTCTTTTCCTGCAGCTGCACCTACAGTCTCCAATGCCCATCTTTCAGGCCCAAGGATAACGCCTGTGTGCCATCCTTCCCTCAGAGTCAGCCTGCAGGATCTGCACCTTGGAGAGACACACCTCCTACCAGCAGCAGAGACAGCAGCAGAAGACAATCTGCGCTCAGCCTCACCTGAGACTGTTTATGGAAGTGCTCAGCAAACATTCAGGAGGAAGGGTGGAAACACACAAGGCTGCTGTGTTTTCTCCCATTTGGGTGGTTAATCATAAAGCAAACATGTTGCCTTGACATAATCCCTGTGGTTTAGTCCTTTTGGAGCTTGGATGTTGGATTACTGAGCTAAGGATAATTTGACACTTAGGACTGTGGGATGGTCTGAAGTATGGTGCTTCTTTGGTTGGAAGTTGAGTGAGTAGTTTATAGCTTTGGTTTCTGCTTGTTGAGTGTATATCCCTGCCTTAGAAATAAAAGAATTTTTGGTTAAGTTAGAGTCTTCCTGCGTTTATTAGTGCTGTGGGTTTGACCAGCATTTTGAGTTTTCTTTAGTGTATGTTCGATAAAAGTTCATATGCCAACGAGCTTGGTCTATTTTTAATCCAAAGATTAATGCTTAATTTATGATAATTAAATTTAATCGCAAAAGTTTATTTATTTAATCAGAAGTTTAAAGGAATCTTTGCTTTTTCAATAACCAAAAATATACGCCATTCTGTGTTTAATTTCAAAGAATAGTCAAGTTTTTAAAGTTAAGAATTTATTACTAACGCTTTTAAAAATGACAATTTGAAATGAAAATTTAGAAATGACAATTTTTAACAGACAATTTAATACTAAAACTTGTTTTAAAGGCAAACCTGTGACTGAGTGGAAGCTAAAATGAAAATGTGAGTTTTTGGATGCGTGAATATCAGGTTTCTTTCAGCGAGAGAAGCGTTTCTGGGTGGAAAGTTGGTTTGCAGCGAACTGAGTCGTTTCTTAGGAAGAATAGCATCAGACACCATCTGTTCGCTACCTCACCCAGCAAGACGACCCTCTGTGTGGATCCGGAGGTCAAGGAGGATGTTGTCAGCCTCAGGGGTACTCGGTCCGGTAGAGAAGACCCGAGTAGAACCGATCCTCTGGTCCAGAGATGTTGCAGGGTACATGGTGTCGAGCGTCTGGCTTAACTCTGAAGGAGTTTTGCATCAGCTGGTTACAGTGCGTTTATTCAGAGCAATTCTATCGGCGTGACAGAATGCTTAGTAGAGATTCGGGCGGCCGTCCTTCTCCTGGTCTGGTACAAGAACTCAACTTTTTTCCTGCTGGATTCGGTTTTAACAAAACCCTCAGAACACGCCCTCTCAGCGTCAGAAAGCTTGGTCATGAGGTAACGACATGTGAGATGATTTTACCCTTTACCCTGGATATCCTCTGAATGAGTCTGGTTAAACGTGCAAGATGACCTTCTGGTTTACTGAACACACATAACGGGTTATCATAATTATATTATTACCCAAAGCATAAGTCATTTCAGTAATTAAAATACATTTATACTGAATTGAGATTATTTATGATGGTTGTAATAACAGTAATAAAGTCAAAAGTTTATTTAAATTATTATTTTAATTTATTATTGTGAATCTTGAAGTGTCCTTCATCCTGGGACGGAACAGCAGCAGATAAAGATGGTTTCAGCAGACATCACGGCTCCTGGCATGGTTAATCTGTGGGGCAGAGTTACAGAATGACCCAGCTGGGAAAATGTGACCTTTGTCACAAATTAGAGACCATTCATGACGCTACAGAAGATGTTTAAGGAGTTTTTGGAGGCCCCTTCACAGGAGACAATTAAGGGATATCACAAGAGCGATTTGGTGGAAATAGCTGGACATTTTGGCTTAACTGGGGCTCAGCAGATGCTGAAGAAGGACCTGAAGGAGACTATTATCACCACCATGGAACAACTGAAGCTGTTTCCTGTGCTAACCAAGAGTGATTATCCTGTCCCAGTAAAGCAGGGGGAAAAAGAAAATGGAGAAGGCGCCGATGGGGAACCTCTTCAGACGCCAGAGGAAGTTACAGACAATTTCCGGTCACCACCAGATGAAAGTAAGATGCCACCTCCACCTTTACCTTTGCCTCCTTATGATCCCCTCTCTCCAGCATCGTCACAGGACCCACCACTGAGTGCTCGGTTGCAGGTCAGGTTGACCCGCCTGAAATACGAGGCTGAAGAGAGAGCGCAGCTCCAGCAGCTGGACCTAGACCTCCGACATCTAGAGATCGAAGCTGATACAAAGGTCAGACTTAAAAGACTTGAACTTGAATATCAGGCTGAAAAGCCTAAAGACACATTGACAAGTAAAGAGAATCAGCCTGATGTGACGTCTAAAAGTGAGGAGAAGAAGCCTGCCGTCGAACCCCCAGGAAAACTTGACCTTAGTAAGTGCATAATGTTGATGCCTCCTTTTCGTGAAGCTGAAGAGGACAAATATTTTCCTGCCTTTGAGCGTATTGCTACTACCCTAGATTGGCCCCATGAAGTGTGGTCTTTATCATTGCAATGTAAATTAAGTGGTAAAGCTCAGGAGGTAATTGCTTCCCTTTCTGTACAAGACAGCCTGGATTATGAATGGGTAAAAAGTGCTATTTTGCATGCTTATGAACTGGTGCCAAAAGCGTACAGACAAAAATTCATGACTTAAAGAAAACGGCAGACCAGTCCTATGTAGAATTCTCTCGTGAGAAATGTTTGTTGTTTGAAAAATGGGTGTCGGCTTCTAAAGCCTCATCTTTTAGTGCTCTGAAAGAGCTCATCCTGCTTGAGGAATTCAAAAGATGTCTTCCAGAACGTGTAGCATTATATCTAAATGAACAAAA